CCACTGTTTCCTTGTCTATCCAGTAACAGCCCCTGGTGCTGGGGCCACTGGGGTCCTCATGTCCACTCTGTCTCCTGCCCCTCCCCAGGCTGAAGGGCCTCTGCCTCCCAGCTGGAACCAGGAGGCCTGCTTCAGTGCCGCTGCCTTTTGGTTGCCCTGCACCTGCCTCTCCTTGCCCCCATCCGGGCTGGTGGCCTGCATAGCTTGCAGGCAGTGGGAGCTGTTTATTTGGAGGGAGGGGACAGCATCCCTGATCCCCTTCTCTCCCTCTCTGGTTCCCAGTCCCCAGACACGTGCCTCTTCTGTTCACATCTGGCCAGGAGCTTTCCGCCTACCTTAGGGATGCCCTCCAGGGCAGCAGAGACCCTGCTCGCTCCCCACCCTGAGGCTGTTGTCAGCAGAGACCCTGCTCGCTCCCCTCCCTGAGGCTGCTATCAGCAGAGACCCTGCACGCTCCCCACCTGAGGCTGCTGTCACTTCTTTGCAAAGTCATAGCCTGGCGCCTTGGGCTTTAAGGGGCTGAAAGTCCTGCTTCCTGGGGCCTGCAGGTGCCCGGGTGTGTGATCCAGGGGAAGCTCAGGCTGAGAGCTGGGGGCGGGGGCTCAGGCCTTGCAGAAGTGTCAGCCAGGGACCACGAGACTCTTGCTGACTGTGTTTTAGCAGATCTTTGCCTCAGGCTCTGAGATAAGGAAGTGTTTCTCCCTGCCTACACAAGCAGACGATCTGCTCCTTTAACGGGTTAAAAGCCCTGTGCCTAGAGGCAGGGAGACATCTCCACAGTTTGGACTGCGGGGGAACCAAGGTTGTTACAGCCCTCTCCCCATGGGCGTGGGCGGGGGAGGCGGGCTGGGAGGGGTGCTCAAAGTTGACTCTTGGCCAGTCCATTCTGGCTACTGACCTCCGGCTAACTAGCCCTCCCTGATGGCAGAAAATGCCACAAGGTAACATCCTAGAGTTAGCATTTCAGAAGCAGAGTGGCTGGGGGGGGGGGGTTCAGTGGAGACTGCTGAGCTTGGAGGGGGGCTGTTGCTGTCTGGCCACAGCCCTGGGCCTGACACCACCACAGCCTAGAGTGTGACCGACAGCTGGAGTCCTCAGCCTCCCTGGCGGTCACCCATGTTCCCTCTGAAGCCTCAATTCCCTCATCTGCCAGATGACGACTGTCGCCTCCTCCCCACGGGCTCACTTCCGAGTGTGCATGGGGGGCTTAGAGCATGCAGGGCTTAGCGCACGCAGGCAGTGCAGGGCGAGTGAGAAACAGCCACGATGCTAATGATGCGCGCAGCCTGCCAGCTCCTCTATGCCACCATGGCAGCAGCCTCCTCGTCTTAGAACGCCAGGACCAGCAGCTGGCGTAACGGCTACGTCGCTGCACTCCCATAGTCGACCGCAGTTCGAATCCCAGACCTGGTGGCTTAAAACACTCCGGGCACATGTGCATGGGCGCCCAAAATCCTGAGAGGAAAAGGGATTGTGGCATGGTCACCCCCCCCCCGGGGGTGTGGGGTTTC